ACCAGCTTCTAGGCAAAACATGTTTAGATTTAGGCAGCTAACTTTAAGGAAAGAGTTGCTGTTGCTATTTTTCTTTATACTTTCCCATTCCCTGCTTCTTCTCTTCCACAAAGTGTTAAGTTTAAAATAGGAGGGAGATCTTGGTCAAATCCTGTTGAGGTTTGTTTTCTGCTGGTCGCTGAGGCCATAGCCAACCAGTGATGGAACAAAGTAAGTCAAAGTCCTCTTGAAACGAGCCCATTGTTTCTATATCTGCAAATTTGCACCCTCATTCTGATATAAAAGCTGTTTTAAAATTATCCACAATTTCAATATCTAGTAGGCTCTCAGCCAGATCTCAAGCAACCCAAACTCTCAAGCAACTGGCAAAAATAAGAAATTATACTGCATCCACAAAGCTATTTTTATAATATCAGTAAAACTATGTAATCTTAAATTTGCCTTTAATTCTTCTACAGCGGACATGGGCAAACTTGGGCCCTCCAGATGTTTTGGAGTCCAACTCTCACAATTCCTAACAGCCAGTAAGCTTTTAGGAATTGTGGGAGGTGAAGTCCAAAACACCTGGAGGGCCCAAGATTGCCCATACCTTCTGAGAATCCATGTGTTTATGTAATAGGAAGAATGTTCCGGGATTTCCTTTCAGGTAGTGATGTAATAAGAGGAGAGGGATTATAGTTCTTCATTGCTTGGTGGTCTACGGAAAAAGGACAGGAGCGAGCAGGTAAGAAGCAAAGCAGGTCCTCTGCCTCTCCAGGACTACATATCCCATGGACCCTTTCTTTAATGGATGTAACTGATGGGAATTGTAGTCTGCATCATCCACAAGGTGCCAGGTTGTAGATGGCTTGGGTGAGCAAACAGCAGCGTGTTTTTATATCTGAATCTTCTGAGCAGTATTATATCCTACTGAGTTCAGCAGGAGGTCCTCCTACATAATGAGATGTAGGATTGCGGCCAAGTTCAGCAAGGCTGTTGTTTTCGTCATCCTTTGTTTATATAGAGAGAGCCAATGATATATTTGGCAGCGCAAGTTAAAGAACCAAACAGCTCCCTCTGCCTTCGAGGCTGACAATTAAATTAAAGCATTACACCAGTGGTTCTCAACCTTCTGAATGCCGCGACCCCTTAATATAGTTCCTCCTGTTGTGGTGACCCCCAACGAGAAAATTATTTTTGTTGCTACTTCTTTACTGTCATTTTGCTATTGTTATGATCATAATGTCTGATACGCAAAATATATTTTCATTCACTGGACCAAATTTGGCACAAACACCCAATACGCCCAAATTTGAATACTGATTGGGTTGTGGGGGATTGATTTTGTCATTTGGGAGTTGTAGTTGCTGGGATTTATAGTTCACCTACAATCAAAGAGCATTCTGAACTCCACCAATGATGGAACTGAACTAAACTTGGCACACAGAACTCCCATGGCTAACAGAAAATACTGGAAGGGTTTGGTGGGCACTGAACTTGAATTTTGGAGTTGTAGTTCACCTACATCCAGAGAGCACTGTGGACTCAAATAATGATGGATCTGGACCAAACTTGGCACAAATACTCATTATGGTGAAATGTGATCACCAGTGGAGTTTGGGGAAAATAGACATTGACATTTGGGAGTTGTAGTTGCTGGGATTTATAGTTAACCTACAATCAAAGAGCATTCTGAACTCTACCAACGATGGAACTGAACCAAACTTGGCACACAGAACTCCCATGGCTAACAGAAAATACTGGAAGGGTTTGGTGGGCACTGAACTTGAATTTTGGAGTTGTAGTTCACCTACATCCAGAGAGCACTGTGGACTCAAATAATGATGGATCTGGACCAAACTTGGCACAAATACTCATTATGGTGAAATGTGATCACCAGTGGAGTTTGGGGAAAATAGACATTGACATYTGGGAGTTGTAKTTGCTGGGATTTATAGTTAACCTACAATCAAAGAGCATTCTGAACTCCACCAATGATGGAACTGAATCAAAATTGGCACACAGAACTCCCATGACCAGCAGAAAATACTGGAAAGGTTTGGTGAGCAATGACCTTGGGTTTTGGCATTGCAGTTCACCTACATCAAGAGAGCACTGTGGACTCAAATAATGATGGATCTGGACCAAACTTGGCACAAATACTCAATATGCCCAAATGTTAACACCGGTGGAGTTTGAGGAAAATAGACCTTGACATTTGGGAGTTGTAGTTGCTGGGATTTATAGTTCACTTACAATCAAAGAGCATCCTGAACGCCACCAAYGAGCGAATTGGGCGAAACTTCCCATACAGAATCCCCATGACCAACTGTGTCATCAGAAAAAACTGTGTTTTCTGATGGTTTTTGGTAACCCCTCTGACACCCCCTCATGACTCCCCCCCCCAGGGGTCCTGACCCCCAGGTGGAAATGCTGCATTACACTAAAACCAAAGGGAATGTCAGAGTGAGAAGGACTTACTTACGTCCATCATGCCTCTTCCTAAAAGCAATGCAGTTTGACATCACTTTCAACTGCCGTGGCTCAATGCTATTCAATTGTGGGAGTTGTAGTTTAACAAGGTCTTTCGCTTGCTACTCTTAATTCTTCTGGGAGGGCAGTCCAGCCTTTTCTTTTAATCCGGAGCTGCATATGGTACGAGCTCATGTGGCAATGTGTGTTTCCCCACTGGATCTATGTCCTTCCCCTGGGATGTGATGGGGGACATGGTGCTCCAGGTAAGCTGAGTTGAAGCCATATAGAGCTTTATAGGTGATCACCAGCATATTGAACTGAGCCCGGAAACAGACAGGCAACTAATGGAGCTGCTTCAGGATAGGTGTGGTGTGCTCTCTGAAGTTAGAAGCCTGGCCACAGCTCTTTGTGCAAACTGTCATTTTTGGACGCTTTTCAAGGGCAGGCCTACATAGAGCATGTTGCAATTGTTCACTCTGGATGTAAACAATGCATGTGCCACTGTGGCCACGTCTGATGTCTCCAGAAATTGGCGACAGGTGAAAAGGAGTAGTAGAGTTGGGCATCATCTGCGTATAGATCAGGCCTGGGCAAGCTTGGGCCCTCCAGGTGCCGCTTAAGCGGCTGAGGGGGAAAAGGAAGGGGCCTGGGGCTGTTCGGAATGATGGGAATTGAAGTCCAAAGCACCTGGATAGCCCAAGCTGGCCCAGGCCTGCACAATTCCCAGTGTTTCCATTAGAAACACTAAAGCCAAGGATTCTTAATCATGGATGACAACGCCCAGGGAATGGCCCTGTTTTGATGGGACTTGGAATCCATCTCCATTTGGATTTGAAGCACCTAACACCTGGAAGACTGGAAACATTGGAAACAATCCAGGATGCGACTGAGAATGGCTTGGGATAGTGGGAATTGTAGTCCTGAAGAAAGTGGAGGACTACAAACACTGGATCAAAGGCTTCTCAATTACAGGTGGACTACTCCCCATGCCCTAGTTGTAACTGGGGGTGATGGGTGTTGCACTCCTTCTCTATTTAGATTTGAACCCCCCCCCCCCCAAAAAAAAAAACCAAAACAACTGGTAGACTGGAAACATTGGAAGCAAAGGCTTCTCAATCCAGGATGAGACTGAGAATGGCTTGGGATAGTGGGAATTGTACTCCTGGAGAAGGTGGAGGACTACAAACACTGTATCAAAGGCTTCTCAACTCCAGATGGATGACTCCCTGATGCCCTAGTTGTAGTTGGGAGTGATGGGAGTTGCAGTCCTTCTGCCCCTAGTTGTAACTGGGGATGATGGGAGTTGCAGTCCTTCTTTATTTAGATTTGAAGCCCCCCCCCCAAACACCTGGAAGACTAGAAACATTGGAAGTAAAGGCTTCTCAATCCAGGATGAGACAGAATGGCTGGGGATATGGGAATTGTAGTCCACCTGGAGAAGGCGAGCTGGAGGACTACAAACACCGAACCAAGGGCTTCTCAATTACAGGTGGACTACTCCCCATACCGTAGCTATAATTGGGAGTGATAGGTGTTGTAGTCCTTCTCTATTTAGGGTTGAAATCCCCCCCAAACTTCTGGTAGACTAGAAACATTGGAAGCAAAGGCTTCTCAATCCAGGATGATAGTGAGCATAGCTGGTTGTAGTTGGGGGTGATGTGAGTTGCAGTCTTTCTGTCCTAGTTGTAACTGGGGATGGTGGGAATTGCAGCCCTTCTCTATTTAGAGTTGAAGCCCCCCCTCCCAGACACCTGGAAGACTAGAAACATTGGAAGTAAAGGCTTCTCAATCCAGGATGAGACTGAGAATGGCTGGGGATTATGGGAATTGTAGTCCACCTGGAGAAAGCGAGATGGAGGACTACAAACACCGAATCAAGGGCTTCTCAATTACAGGTGGACTACTCCCCATACCGTAGCTATAATTGGGAGTGATAGGTGTTGTAGTCCTTCTCTATTTAGGGTTGTAATCCCCCCCAAACTTCTGGTAGACTAGAAACATTGGAAGCAAAGGCTTCTCAATCCAGGATGAGACTGAGAATGGCTGGGGATTGTGGGAATTGTAGTCCTCCACTTGGAGAAGGCGAGATGGAGGAATACAAACACTGAATCAATGGCTTCTCAATTACAGGTGGGCCATGTCCTAGCTATAATTGGGAATGATGGGTGTTGCAGTCCTTCTCTATTTAGCCCCCCCCCAAACACCTGGAAGAATGAGAATGACTTGGGATTGTGGGAATTGTAGTCCACCTGGAGAAGGCGAAATGGAGGACTACAAACACTGAATCAAAGGCTTCTCAGTTAGAGGTGGACTACTCCCCATGCCCTAGTTGTAATTGGGAATGATGGGTATTGCAGTCCTTCTTCCCTAGTTGTAATTGGGGATGATGGGAATTGCAGTCCTTCTCTATTTGGACCTGGATTCCCAAACTCCTGGAAGATGAGAGTTTTGGGCAAGGAGGGCCACTCCCATAGGCCTGCCCGGCGACCTCCTGGGATGCTGGGAGTTGGAGTCCCTTGGAGGCGGAGGCGGCGGGCGGGGCTGCTTGTCTGCTTGGGGCCAGCAGAGGTCCCTGGACTAGTCGCCCTGCAACGCCGGCGAGAAGGCCGCTCTCTTGCCTCGCCTTCCTCGGCTGTGCAGCAGCTTCCTTCGCCTCAATCGGAGAGCCACAGACAGAGAGAGAGAGACCCTTCTTCCAGCCTCAATCGCATTAGCTGCCTTGGCGAAAAGAAAGAAGGGAGAAGGAAGGGAGGAAGGAAGGAGCCCATGCCCTCCTCCTCCTCCTCCTCCTGCGGGAAGGCAGGCCAGCTGCTCCTCGCCCCTCTCTCTTCTCTGGTGAGTCAACCCAAGCGGGCCCTGAACGAGGCTCTTCTTGCCCAGCCAAGGGCCACCGGGGCTGCCCACTCGCCCCAGTCTGGCCCAAAAGGCCCCGCCTGGGGTCCCTCCCTGGGATCCTTCTGTTGAGCTGTCAGGGCTGAATAAGAGAGCCAGGCCGAACAAAGGATCCCAGGAGCGGACGCCTCTCGTTCAGAAGGATCTCCTCCTCCTCCTCCCTTGTTCCTTTTTTCCTCCACCATTTCCCCTCAAAAATTCTAATAACTATTTACCAGTTACTAATTAATTGAGTATATTTATAATTACTGTATCATAATTTCCAACAATTATTATAATTATGATTAAATGTTGTCATTTTTGATATAATACTAATGATGTAAAGATTCTATTTAGCTATTATACTTGCTCATATTTTCTAATTCTTATCACTTATCAAGCCATTAAAAAAGTTTAATTATTCTCTAATTATTTCTCTTTTTATCAATTCTTATTTTCATTCTTATTATTTTATTTTATTTTATAGAAAAATGTTTTAATATTATTTATCTCCTCATCTTTCTCCTTCTTCTCCTCTTTCTCCTTCTCCTCCTTCCCCAGTTGTCATTTTTCTTCTCTTTCTCCTCCTTCCGCTGTTCTCATTCTTCTCCTTCTCTTTCTCTGTCTCCTCCTTCCCCAGTTTTAATTCTTTTCCTTCTTTCTCCTTTTCTCATTCTCCTCCTCCTCCTCCTCTTTCCTCTCCTTCCCCTGTTCTCATTCTTCTGTATCTCCTTATCTTTCTCCTTCTTCTTTTCTCATTCTTCTTCTCCTCCTCCTCCTTCTCTTTCTCCTCCACCTTCCTATATTCTCATTATTCTCCTCCTTATCTTTCTCCTCCTTTTCTCCTTCTTCTCAGCTTTCTCCTCCTTCTTCCCCTTTTCTCATTCTTCTTCTCCTTCTCTTTCTCATACATTCTCATTCTCCTTATCTTTCTCCTTTTCTCCTTCTCCTTATCTTTCTCCTCCTCCTTCCCCTGTTCTCACTCTTCTTTTTCTGCTTTTCTTTCTCCTTCTTCTCCCTTTTCTTTTCTCATTCTTCTCCTGCTCCTTAACTTTCTCCTTTTCTCCTCCTCCCCCTTTTCTCATTCTCCTCCTCCTTATCTTTCCCCACCTTCTCCTTCTCCTCTTTCATCTCCTCCTCCCCCTGTTCCCATTCTTTTTCTCCTTCTTCCCTTCTTTCTCTCCTCCCTCCCTTTTCTTCTCTCTTCCTTCTGCTTCTTATTCTCTCCCTTTCTGCTTGTCCTTAGTCTTCTTCCTTTTCTTCTCCCTCTTCTCTTTCCTCTCCCCCTCTTCCACCTTTTTCTTTTCCTTCCTATTATACATTTCCTCCTCCTTCATCGCCCTTCATCTCTCTATTCTTCCTCATCCTTATTATTCCTTTACTCCATCTTCTTCCCCTCATTCTTCTTCTCTTCTTTCTTCCTCTCTTCTTTCTCCTCCTCCTCCTTCTCTCCCCTTCTCCTCTTCCTTCTCTGTCATCATCAACATAAATCATAGCACTAGATGGAGTATCTCTTATCCCAACGCTTGGCCCAAAAGTGTTTGGGATTAGGGGTTATTTTAATTTTAATTTTGGAATATTTACATAGATGATATGACCTCTCCCATATCATTGTTTACCCACAGTCATCCTCTCTAAGCGTTTTCTGTGCCCTACTGCACAACTGTGATATTCTTGGGTATAAGTCCTTCATTTGAAGTTGCTATTATTTGTATTTTTGTACAGTCGAGTCTTGCTTATCCAACCTTCGCTCATCCAACGTTTTATATTATCCAACGTAGTCTGCCTCCCGCCCAGATCCACAGCTGTTTCAATACATTGCGATGTTGCTAAATTCATAAATACAGTAATTACTACATAACGTTATTGTGTATTGAACTGCTTTTTCTGTTGATTTGATGTAAAACATGATGTTTAGGTGCTTAATTTGTAAAATCATAATGCAATTTGACGTTTAATAGTCTTTTCCTTAATCCCTCCTTATTATCCAACATTTTCGCTTATCCAACGTTATGCCGGACCCATTACTGTATATCTGTGCAAAGTCTGGCAGCCCAAGAACAAGCCATTACAACCAGTGCCATCAAAGCCAGAATTGAAAAGTCAACAACAGATCCCAAATCATGAAGCAGATGAAACAATAGATCACATCCTCAGCTGCTGCAAGAAGATCACGCAGACAGACTACAAGCAGAGGCACAACACCGTTGCTCAGATGATTCATTGGAACTTGTGCCACAAATACCATCTTCCTGCGAAAAAGAACTGGTGGGATCACAAGCCGGGAAAAGTTACAGAGAATGAACACGTCAAGCTACTCTGGGACTTTTGAATTCAGACAGAGAGTTTTGGAGCATAATACTCCTGACCTCACAATCGTGTTAAAAAACAAAGTGTGGATTATCGATGTTGCAATCCCAGTGACAGCAGGATTGAAGAGAAACAAATAGAAAAGCTGACATGATATGAGGATTTAAAGATCGAACTGCAAAGACTCTGGCACAAGCCAGTCAGGGTGGTCCCAGTGGTGATCGGCACACTAGTGCAGTGCCTAAAGACCTTGGCCTGCACTTGAACACAATCGGCGCCAACAAAATTACCATCTGCCAGCTACAGAAGGCCACCTTACTGGGATCTGCACGCATTATTCGCCGATACATCACACAGTCCTAGACACTTGGGAAGTGTCCGACGTGTGATCCAATACAACAGCCAGCAGAGTGATCTTGTCTGCTGTGGACTCATCTTGTTGTGTTTCAAATAATAATAATAATTTTTTTTTGGTTGTGTCAGGAGTGACTTGAGAAACTGCAAGTTGTTTCTGTTGTGAGATAATTGGCTGTCTGCAAGGACGTTGCCCAGGGGACGCCCGGATGATTTGATGTTATTATCATCCTGTGGGAGGCTTCTCTCATGTCCCCGCATGAGGAGCTGGAGCTGATAGAGGGAGCTCATCTGCCTCTCCCCGGATTCGAACCTGCGACCTGTGGGTCTTCAGTACTGCCGGCACAGGGGTTTAACCCACTGCGCCACCGGGGGCTCCATAATAATAATGATGATGATAATGATGATGATGATGATGTTCAGAGAGTGGGCTTAATAACAAAAGACCCTCCCCATAAATGTATGGGCCACTTTCTTTGCAGGGCTGCTAGGAAAGATGATTTTAAATAGTGTATTTTAATATTGAGATAAATGTTTTTAATGTTGATGTATGCATATAATGAATTCTTGTCCCGGAAAACTCACCACAACCCATTGGTTCCAGCCATGAAAGCCTTCGACAACACATTCAACCAACCTCTGTTGCCTTAGGCTCACTGGAGGAAAGGAAGGACACAACTCATTCCAAACTTACATTGCAAAATAAAATAATATTCCTGAACCAGGCAAGAGGAGGCCATAACAAAGATTCGACTTGCTCTTCAGCTTCTGTGTTTTGACACAAGCCTTGCATTATTTTGAAAAGTAAGTTCCTAATCCTCATGGCCAGAGAGAGGAATGTAAGTACATAGAGGTCATGCATGTGGAAAGAAAACAAAGGTCAGTTTGCAGGGGAAAGCAAGCAATGCGTTGCCAGAATCAGCAGAGAAATGTGTAGGGAACAAATAAGGGAAATCTGGGGGTATGTGTCACCTTCCAAGCCATACTAAAGGTGCTTTCATCGCTTTTAAGCAACCATGGGTGCATCTATACCAGGCCTGGGCCAACTTGGGCCCTTTAGGTGTTTTGGACTTTAACTCCCACCATTCCTAACAGCATCAGGCCCCTTCCTTTTCCCCTCAGCTACTTAAGTAGGCTATTAGGAATGGTGGGAATTGTGGAAGTTGAAGTCCAAAACACCCAGAGGGTCCACGTTTGCCAATGCCTGATCTATACTGTTGAGTTAAAGCAGTTTGGCACCACTTTTCACTGCCATGGCTCACTGCTATGAATCATGGAGGTTGTAGTTTGATGAGGCACCAGCACTCTTGGAAAGAGAAGCCCTCATTCTGCCATGTAGGAATGCACAATCAAAGCATTCCCGGCAGAAGGCCATCCAGCCTCTGCTTAAAAACCTCCAGAGAAGGAGACTCCACCACACTTTTTTTGTAAAATAATTTTTATTATTATGAACAAAGTGTTAAAAAAGAAATAAAAATAAAAGATAAAGTATAGGAGAAAAAACATTTAAAGTCGGGGAACATTATCATTGATGAAAAGTAGGAAATTGCAAAAAAGAAAAATAAAGGGGAAAGAAGCGAGTGGAGAAAAAAAGTTTTTGAATGGCTTCCATTCTTCTTCCTTACGTTCAAGTCTGTCAGTTTTCCCATTCTATCAAGTTTTACTTTCCCAATAATAATCTATTTTTAGTATGCCAATTTCTTTCCCTTCTTGTCCTATAGTTGGTGTTGTATCCTCATATATTCTTCAAAAATTGACCAATCTGTCATTTTCATGCTTTTGCAGTATTCTTCTTTAACAAAAATGTAAGTCTATCCATATTCTCTATTTCTAATATTTTGTCTATCCAAAGTTCCTTAGCCAGTATAGTGTCTAGTTTCCAAGCTTTTGCGGAAACCATTCTTGATGCCATAGTCAGATAAGTAAAAGATCTTTTCTTTATTGCTATCAGCAAATAGTTCAAAGTCAAATATCCCCAATAGGTAGTGTTCAGGTTTCATTGTTCATTCTGTTCTTAGAATTATTTGGTATTCTTTATGTATCTTTTCCCAGTAACTATTTACTTTTTCACACGACCATGACATGTGGTAGTATGACCCTTGATGTGTCTTAAATTTCCAACATTTGTTGTCTGCGTCTTTATACTCGTACATCTTTCCCAACTTTTTCGGTGTCATATACCAACGGTAGAGCATTTTAACCATTTTTTAAAGATATGAGCAATAGGTATGTTTAAGCCTTTTTTGTCCATATTTTTCCCATTCCTTCAATTGCATTGGTCTGCCTACATTTCTAGCCCA